AGACGCACTTACATTTCTGTTCAAAAATACAAGTGGGCACACTTCCCAGGACGGAAATCTTTTTCTTTTTTCTTAAGAGCACCATATATTCTTCGGACAACCGACTTCTCCGATGACAACGGTGGTCAGAGACATCAAGGACTCAAGCCTTACTTGTCGAAGAAGGTTAAAATGGCGTATCGCAGCATAATACATGGTGCTCGAGGACTAGCTGTGGGGGTATTAACCCCTATACCCTTATGGCTAAGCTTGGGCCGGCCCGGATCGGTGGGTTCGGTCCACCAAAAGACGACGTGCGGCCTGGTTAACCTGATCGGAGTCCCGCGCAAGGAGTCAAGGCGGATTTGGTGATCAATCAAGATCCTGGTCGGTTAGAATAGGAATTCTTATCCGGCCACATATGGCAATTGTAACTGGCTAGGATTAGTTTCCAGATCTGTAACCCTGCCTCCCGAACTATATAAGGCGGGCAGAGGACCCCTCTAAAAAACATCTCTCATTAACATACAGCAATACAAATTAGACGTAGGACGTAGGTATTACGCCTTCTTGGCGGCCGAACCTGGATAAAACCTTGTGTCTGTCTTGCGTCACCGTCTTATTTGTGGCTTGCGCATCTGTCTGCCGACAATCTATTACCTTGGGTATACCCCTAGGTAGACTGCCGACCATATTTCGTCGACAATCATAGGATTCCTGTTTTAGACATAAAATTCTCGTTTTATGTGTAAGATTATCTTTTTATAAACAAAATTCTCGTTTTATATGTAGAGTTCTTGTTTTATTTTAACAAACGTGTTTTCAACATACGATTCCTGTTTTAGATAGAACATTCTAGTTTTCTGTGTAAGATTATTGTTTTCGTTACAAGATTCTTGTTTGTTGTAACAAACTTGCTTTCATCAAACAATCCTGATTTCGAAAAAGGATTCTTGTTATCTCTGTAGGTTTCTTGTTTTATATACAGAAAACTGAAAAGATATGGATAATAGGGCTCAGAAGTTGCAATAGGTAAGTTATACTAACAACAGCGAAGATTTCTCAGAAACATTAGCAATGAAATCCATATTTCCTGATCGCATTTGAACCATTTGTAAATACCATCATTCCTGAATTCTACCGCTCTAAAAAGTACAGTCAAGATTTGTTGCGCCTATGTATCAACACCAACCTTTCTAAAAGAATGTATGAACAGCTCAACACAAACCACAAAACATCGTTTAACTGGAACCATTTTAGTAACTGCTAATCTGTCAAGTTGATGATCCATCTCTTCCCGACATACGAACCCACGGGTCGCATCTCCACTCCCAACATCCGTCCTCCGACCTGATCATCAAACCAGGTATAATCAACATCTGCTACAATCACTCAGCCACTAATACGCTAAACCCTAATAATGGAATATCAATGACCAGCAAAGACGCACCCCACCACCCCTAGCGGGCGGCCCCGGATGACAGAATGTTTGTTATAACAAACGTGTTTTCATCACAGCATTCCTGTTTTAGACATAAAATTCTCGTTTTCTGAGTCAGATTTATGTTTGCTTTACACGTTTATTGTTGGTTGTAACAAACTTTGATCATTAAAATCCTGATTTCGACAAAGGAGTCTTGTTATCTGAGTCCAATTCTTGTTTTATGTACAAAATTCTAGTTTTATCTGTAGAGTTCTTGTTTGTTATAACAAACGTGTTTTCATCACATTCATAAAAATTCTGATTTCGACCAAGGATTCTTGTTTTTTAAACTAAATTCTCGTTGTATCTGTAGAGTTCTTGTTTTACGTTAACAAACATGTTTTCATCATTGGATTCCTATTTTAGACATAAAATTCTCGTTTTATATGTAGAGTTCTTGTTTTATTTTAACAAACGTGTTTTCATCATACGATTCCTGTTTTAGACAGAACATTCTAGTTTTCTGTGTAAGATTCTTGTTTTCGTTACAAGATTCTTGTTTGTTGTAACAAACTTGCTTTCATCAAACAATCCTAATTTCGAAAAAGGATTCTTGTTATCTCTGTAGGATTCTTGTTTTATGTACAGAAAACTGAAAAGATATGGATAATAGGGCTCAGAAGTTGCAATAGGTAAGTTATACTAACAACAGCGAAGATTTCTCAGAAACATTAGCAATGAAATCCATATTTCCTGATAGCATTTGAACCATTTATAAATACCATCATTCCTGAATTCTACCGCTCTAAAAAGTACAGTCAAGATTTGTTGCGCTTATGTATCAACACAAACCTTTCTAAAAGAATGTATGAACAGCTCAACACAAAATACAAAACATCGTTTAACTGGAACCATTTCAGTAACTGCTAATCTATCAAGTTGATGATTCATCTCTTCCCGACATACAAACCCACGGGTCGCATCTCCACTCCCAACATCCGTCCTCCGACCTCATCATCAAACCAGGTATAATCAACATCTGCTACAATCACTCAGCCACTGATACGCTAAACCCTAATAATGGCCTATCAATGACCAGCAAAGACGCACCCCATTACCCCGTGGCATGGCCCCGGATGACGGAATGTTTGTTATAACAAACGTGTTTTCATCACAGCATTCCTGTTTTAGACATAAAATTCTTGTTTTCTGAGTCAGATTTATGTTTGCTTTACACGATTATTGGTGGTTGTAACAAACTTTGATCATTAAAATTTGATTTCGACAAAGGATTCTTGTTGCTCGAGTCCAATTCTTGTTTTATGTACAAAATTCTGGTTTTATATCAGAGAGTTCTTGTTTGTTATAACAAACGTGTTTTCATCACATTCATAAAAATCCTGATTTCGACCAAGGATTCTTGTTTTTTAAACTAAATTCTCGTTGTATCTGTAGAGTTCTTGTTTTATGTTAACAAACATGTTTTTATAAGAATTCTCGTTTTAGACATAAAAGAGAATCTTAGTGCTAGGTCAAACAATAAAAAAATGATCAGATTTATATAAAAAATACTAATATTTATCCTACTAAATAAGTATCAATATATTTTTGTGAAATATATTTTTAATATACTTATTTAGAGTCATGTATGTAGATACTATTCTCTACGTAAACTTAATACAATTTGATTTTACTTGATCTAGAATTTGATTTTACTTGATCTAGAATTATATCTTTTTTTATAGAGGTTGTACTAACAATTAGCTCGAGATTTCAAATCTCAATGATTCAAATGGGGCTCAGTCAATAGGTCAGCTGATAGCCTCCCTAATAAAAAGCTATTAGCTGAATTTCTTGTGCTAACAGCTAACAATTAACTGCCTAGATCCGAGTCCCTAAATTTAGGCTTGGTTTAGTTTCCAAAATTTTTTGCCTCCTACAGTAAAAGAGCATGTTTGGACACATGCATGGAGTACTAAATGTAGACGAAAAAGAAACTAATTGTACAGTTCTCGGAAAAATCGCGAGACGAATCTTTTAAGCCTAATTAGTCCATGAAATGCCTTAAATGCTACAGTAACCCACATGTGCTAATGACCGATTAATTAGTATCATTAGATTCGTCTCGTAGTTTCCTGATGGGTTCTGTAATTTATTTTTTTATTAGTATCCAAAAACCCCTTTCGACATCCTTCCGACACATCCGATGTGACACTAAAAAATTTTCACCTCCCCAACTAAACACACCCTTAGCATTAAAACCCTACTTGTATGGTTGTATATATATTAACAACTGAAGTTGACACACATAAAACTAATCGTCTGGAGATGAAACCCCCCGACCCGCCCCTTCCCTCGGCGACGCCGGCGCCGATGCGCTTCCACCCACGCCGCCCCTCCATCCAAGCACCAATCCGACCCAGCCAGCACCAGATCCGAACCCCAGTAGCCTGATCTATCCATCCATGGGGGTCACAACGTCACCCCGTTGCTTCCTAGGCTGGCCGCGGCTGCTTTGGAGCCGTTCGCCCCCACCCTCAGCGCCGCTCTCAAACTGGTCGCCGTGCCGCCGCCCCCAGTCACCATAGCAGCCACCCCCCTCCCAACTAGTCCCAGCCCTCCGCTCGGCCAGGGATTTCCCAAAATTCCGGCTGCCGCCTCTCCTCCACCGGTGGTTGCCACGGGTGGAAGGATGTCGGACGAGACAACGGTCATCGTCGAGGACGTCATGGAAGGCGAGGACGACGAGGATTATGATGATGTCGACGACAACGACGAAGCCAGTGAAGCCGCGCCGGCGTCCACATAGTCAACCACAACGCGGGCGTCCACACCTCCACCGGCGGTTACTCCTCCAGCGATGGTCGCACGCTCGGGCAGGTCCTCGCCATCCTCCCTCTCCCCGCATGCCCCACCCTTCTTCCCCGTCCATCAGTCGACTGGCAGGAGCAAGTTCGGGCGTTGAGAAAAAGTCCCATGCGCGGGCAGCTCCGATGACGAAGTCGTCCCTACCATGCTCTTGTCGTACCTAGACGCCGCCCGAAAGGCTCTCCGGGCCACGCCTCCACCGCCGGTGGGGTCTCCGCATGCGGCGTAGAACGCAGCCACCGTGGGGGGTAACCACCCGGCGGCTGCCAAGGGGAAGTGCCGTCATCGGCGTAGGACCTGCGCGCCCGATGGCCGGTGGAATCCACCATTGTCGAGGGTCGGCGGCGGCGGCGCTGTCCTAGGAGAACGGCGCCCAAGTGCCACCGCCCCGTCCCGTCGGACCTCGTGGGTCTCTACTTCAACTGCCTTGCGCACGACCACGTCGCCGCTCTCGATCCCGTTGCCTCCGTCGCTGGGGGACCGGCATCAAGCAAGGGTGTGCAAGCATGGTCGTTCGCCGGCGTGCAAGTGAGACCCTTCGTCGGCGAGCAAGCCTTCAGCGCGTCGCCCCGGTCGGAGTGTGGAATGTCGCCCTGCTGGTCCGAGACGACCTAGCTTGTCGCCGGAATGTCGCGCCGCGCCAGGTCTGACACCCACAACGTCGTCGCCTTGTCGTGTGCAGCGGTCGACCGTGCCGTCATCATCGCCGCAGCAGCACCACAACAGCAGCATGTCGGTATCACCACCTCTGGATGACGTTGATAACCGTCCCAAGATCGAGGCCTTCGTCGTCCAGAGGAACGTGGAGCTCGCCGCGTTTGGAGTGGACCTCTCCCTCGTTCTTGTCGCACTCGTTGGTGGAGACCAGCCAGCCGTCACGCCGGAGGAGTTCCAAGCACACCTTTCCTCGAGGTTCCGTGTGTCTGTGGGCGTGGTCGGGGTCTGTGCTTGGCTTGGGGGCCACTTTGCATGCGTGTGCCAGCTAGATGGCTACTCTAGCGTCGCTATGCAGGAAGGTAAAATGCAGATACAAGTGGTGCACCCTGAGCCTGAGCTCGTAGTGGACCGTTGCTCGGAGGTTCAGCGCTGGGACTTCGATCCCATGCTGGTTGGGGTGGAGGCATGTCTGACCAAAAGGCCACATTAGGCAAGTCCCATGAGCCAGGCCGTGTCGGAGGTGGCCAAGGCGGTGGACCTGTGCCTTTTAGGCCTAGACGAGTGAGGCTCGGGCCAAACCTCACCAAGGCTCTCGCTCTTGGTGTCGGAGCAGGCCAGGGAATCCCCACCCCCAGTCTAGGTCGACTTCCCTGCTAACCAGGTAGGAGCAGACAGAGGCGGCCCAGCCACACCGGCTGTTGATGGCAGTGCGCCTGAGGACTTCATCGCTGCATTCAAGAAGCCGCTCATGATGCCTGTCTTGTCGTCGCCTCCACGACTGTGGCTAACTCGGGCGGCAAGAGCGCGAGCGGGGGAGCTAGACGACTCGGAGCTCGTCCCCAAGAGGAGCGCTAGGCTTGCCGCCAAGAGCAGGCACAGGAACAGAAGCCGGAGGCTCAAGAGCGGAAGGTGATGATGAAATGTCTGGGGCTCGAGATGGAGACTGAGCTACCTGACGAAGCCTCCTTTGAGGAATTCCAGACCGCCTTCAAACTCCCCCTGACGGCGTCGACGAGGGAAGCCATGCAGACCCTCTTCCCGGGCAGGAACCCGCGAGCCTAGAATTTGTCTTGCTGTTTTAGTCACAAAACACTTTTCCTATGTAGCTTTTTCTAAGTGTATCCGGTAGCTAGGTGGTAAGGTGTGTTGTGTCACGAAGGCTCCTCGCTTGCATGATTGCGCATGGGTGTACTGATAACTATTTTTTTTCTTAATGAAAAACGGGTGGATGGCCCGATCATGAGAAAAAAAAACTAATCGTCTTGAAAATCTACTTTGCATCAATTCCCTTCCCTCGATTATTTATACTGTGTCAGTCTTTCCTTTCAAAAGGAGACGTGTCCCCATAGGCCATAGCAACAATTCACAAATATGGTTATCGAAACGTTCGGATAGTAGTTTTGAAGTTTGCGAAGTTTGTTGGGTATACCATTTCTTGCAAGGCGTGCGTGATCCTTTGACGTCAGCGAGTCAGCGTCAAATGACATCGAGAACAAACTCTTCAAACAGTCTAATGTATGTATGTAAACGGTTTCTAGAATACCCAGGTTTAGGCTAGAATCGGTCCTGTTTAGTTTCCAAAAATTTTCACCTTAAAGGGTCACATCGAATCTTGCATGGAGTACTAAATGTAGACGAAAAACATAATTAATTGCACAGTTGGGTGAGGAATCGTGAGACGAAACTTTCGAACCTAATTAGTCCATAATTAGACACTAATTACCAAATACAAACGAAAATACTACGGTAGCCAAAACAAAAAAAAAATCGCCATCTAAACGCGCCCTATATGATGCTTAATCGCTTAATTAGTGCCGCTGACTTCACCTGGCATCGCACCGTCCGTTCCGGTATGCTCGTACTCGTACGAACAAGTCATCAATGTCCGCAAAAGCAGCCCATGGAAATGGAACGGAGTGCTACAAAACAAATCAAGAAGCCGAGCCAACTGACCCCTTCCGTCTCGGGCTCTCGGCGAAGTGACAAGCGCGTGCGCGATTCCATTCCGGAGAGGCAGGTGTGCGTTGATTCCTGCGCTGCGCCCCAACAAGGCCAACGCCCAACGGGGACAGGATGAGGGGACAGCGGGCGACGAGAGGGAGGAAAATTCCAGTCCAACTCTAGCGCTTCCCTTCTCCTTTCCTCTCGTCTTCCCCGCGTCGCCGGCTCTGGTCTGGTCGGGTCTTGCCTCCATTTCGGGACTCGTAGCTTCTTCCTGGTCGTGGTTGCTGCGCGTCTTGCGTACCCTGGTACGGAGCGTTTCTTGATCCGTTTTTCTTTTCATTTTCCCCCCACGCCGTCTCGGTGGATTGCTAGAAGGTGTCGTGGATTCGTTGCCGGCTTGTGTTGTGTGTTCAGCAGCTAGAGTTCCTGTTCTGCTACAGTCCTGCTTTTCTGTTCTTTGTTTATTGCTTTACACCGTTAGTACCATGGGGGCGTGGACAGGAGAAAGATTGCTGGTTCACCGCTCGAATTCTATCGGATGTCTTCACCGTTGAGCATGTGGGAATCCGCCAATTCGGAGATCTTGCCTACTTTTTAGGTTCAACGGATGTTATTGTTTGTATCTATCATATTCATTTGTCAGATCTATTATTCTTCTCCAATATGAGTTCATTGGGACATAATCGAATTTGTCATTTTATCCGGAGAGAATTCATTTCAATGAGCCCTTCCCAGCTTATCGAGTTTGCCTAGTATAATTGCGTTTGTCATTTTCTCTGTCCTTCTACGTTATTATCAGCACACAGAATAGAAAATTGTCTGGGGGCTCTACATGTAACTATAGAAGTAGTTGCTACCGGTACCTACCTGCTCGTTTTCATATTCCAATTGGATGGGAGTTTCTCATTTCTCTATCCAATTGAACACGTCGGTGTTATTTGCAAATTCAGAACTGGGCCCAAATCCTGGACGCGGTCTATTCTACTTAATTCAATCAAATTCCACATGCAAGTATTACTCTGCAGTGTCTCACTTTGCATATTATCACCAGTGTTGTTTAAATACGTACTTTTGAATTGTGTTATGAAGATTGAATTGATGTGTTGTTATGAGTATTGTTTAATATTTTCTTAATGCGCCATCCATCATAGGGTTGAGCATCACTGGGAGTGGAAGAAAGGAATCATGTTCAGGAGAAAGCATGCTTCTCATTTCAACTCAAATGATGCTGAGCAGCAAGAAGCAAAGGTAACTGTGATAATTGTCTTCTCATCATAGCTCATAAGTTTTTGTTGACATGAAGATTTTAGAGCCTGCTGTGAATTCTTATTTTACGTGAAAGCCCATAGTGAATCATGCTAGGAGTATGTTCCATAGTCCATAGACACGTGCTTTGTTCATATACTAGTGCTATGACTATGATCCAATTATTTGCTGCAATGAAACACCAGAGCCTACAGGGGCTTACTTATGTGTACCATGTTATGTTTGTGTGTTAGTACTAGTTCACACAAAAGCCTGCACTTAACAATCTAAATGTTCATACATAGATGTGTGTTATTGTCGCAGACTTGCCCTTGGGCCTTTATAAGCTTGACAAATGGTTTTAGTTTCTTTATTGAAATACCTCTGTATTGCCTGGTTGATTTCTCACATGATGTCGCCTATGAACAGATAAATGAATTAAAATCTGCACTTGGCCCTTTGTCTGCCCATGGCGAGTACTGCAGTGACACATGTTTGAGAAGATATCTTGAAGCCCGGAACTGGAATGTTACTAAGTCGAGAAAAATGCTTGAAGAAAGTCTCAAATGGAGGGCAACTTATAAGCCGGAGGATATTCGCTGGGTAAATGCACTCAAGTTACTTTGTTCCCTGAATCCTGGTCAAGTGACCAAACACCATGCTAACTGCCTTTCAGCCTGATGTTTCTGCTGAAGCGGAAACTGGAAAAATGTACAAGGCAAGTTTTCGAGATAGAGAGGGGAGAACCGTAATTATTATGAGGCCTACAAAGGAGGTAAGACTTTCTCTTTTGAACTGACATCCCTGTGTTTTTTTATTTCTCCTTCGTAAAGATCATCAATATTTCTTGCTTTTATCAGTCTTTCTTACTTTCATAAAAATTCACGTGTATGCTTTTATCAAATTCCAGAATTCAACGTCCCATGACGGTAAGATCCAGTTTCTTGTATATGTTTTGGAGAACGCAATCCTGGGCCAACATGATGGTCAAGAGAAAATGGTATGGCTGATAGACTTCACAGGATGGACAATGGCCCATGCCACACCCATAAAGACTGCAAGAGAATGTACAAGCGTCCTGCAAAATCATTACCCTGAGAGGCTGGCCATTGCATTTCTGTTTAATCCTCCAAAAGTATTTGAAGCCTTTTACAAGGTAAAGGCTTTTAAACCTGTTTTGTAAATGTTCTGTTTGTGTTTGATTTACTTCACAAAGATTCAAAATCTATATGTAGAGTTGATACATAAAAATATGTTCCTGTTTTGATTTCCCTATCCTAACTCAAGTGTTCCAAATTCTTACAGGCTGTCAAATATTTCCTTGACCCGAGTTCGATTGAGAAACTGAACTTCGTGTACCTGAAGGATGAGGAGAGCATGAAGGTCCTGTACAAATGCATTGATCCCGAGGTCCTTCCTGTCGAGTTCGGGGGAAAGAACAGTGTTGTGTACAACCATGAGGAGTACTCCAAGTTGATGCTGCAAGAAGATATCGAAACATCAAGCTTCTGGGAAGATGACGCGAAAACTGTTGACCATACTGTCAATGGGAACTTGGTTCCTGATGTTGCACCTCAGTCGCCGCTGCTTGCTGCTAAAGCCAGTTGAGTATCAGCCTACTGTGATGGGAGCTATTCGGAATGCTTTAATGGAGCAACTGGAAAAGTTGAACAACAATAGAATGTTCATAGTAAACAGAAATAGAGCAAATAAGAGATGAGATATTACTTGTCCATAGTCGAAATAGTTGCACTTATCAAACACTTTAGTACACGATGAGTTACAGGAGGATACGCCATGGGTGATATTGGATGCAAAAGCCCAAATGAAATGGTGGGAGTGCCACCTGCTTATTGTATCTCAACAGTCACTAAATGCTTTACTTGTTTTAGCCGTGGCTACGGAGAAGCTAATTCTGGGTTATGGCTTTAAAAATGTTGATTTCATATTTGTATTTGATTATTATGGCCGAAGTAGCTCCTGACCAGTTTGTGGATTCTAGTAGTAATGATACTCCTTGATTTTTTTTAACACAAGCGGCGGGAGTCCTGCCAGTCAATTTAGAGGGTGTTAGTTTAGTCCCTGTCACATGGGACGTTCGGAGGATAATTAGGAGGGTTAAATATGAGATAATTATAAAACTAATTGCATAGTTGGAGACTAATTTACGAGATGAATCTATTATACCTAATTAATCCATCATTAGCAAATGTTTATTGTAGCACCATATTGTCAAATTATGGAATAATCTATATAGATCTCTAATCCAGGTGAAATTCACTGTTGATCAATAGTGCCTCCCCGTTTCCTACACTCATATCACTGCTCATCCACAGTCTTTCTTGCATGCCCGTCCGATCCGCCGTCCAGCCACGCGATGCCTGCCAAGGTTGTCTACGTGCCCCGATAGGGCTTTCTTCCACCCGCCTGCCCAATCCACGCGTCCACATCGTCCACCAAAAAAACACCGCCCCCAAAGAAACAAAACAAACCTGCCTCCAGCCTTCTCCACCGCCGACCCGTACACCGCTGCCTCTGTAACACCCTCGGTGTTACACTGTAAATCTTTTGCTAAAACACTGCATGTGCATCATGTTTATGTGATAGTCTATGAATTATAGTGTGTAAATCAATTCCTGTGACTCGAAACGTTCACCGAAAACGCGAAACGAATGTTATATTTCATGTCGCGTTATATCGCTTAGAGTTCTAAACGAATTTTTATTGAACGAAAATATTATAGAATGCATATACGGAACTTTAATAACGTTTGTAGTATAAGATTTGTAGGTGATGATGAAATACGTGCGGTCGAGAACGGGATTCACTAGCTAGCTTACTTAATAGCTTGGAAATCGCATTCGACGCGAAACCGATCAAGACGTAGTCGCATTTCTTAAGTTAGAAAATGGTTTGACGAAGCTAAGTTCGGCAATTTTTGTAGAAGAATCGGGCTAAGTAGTGGTATGGTCTTAGGGTGTGTTTTAGTAGCTTGACATACCATCTCGAGTGTTAAATAGGTGGTTTAGCAACTGGATCACTAAGATGGATTTTTGGGACGCTTTAAAAAGCGTGCAAGGCACGTTCCCGGCCGGTTTTAGCTTTTGGACGCGGTCACCAGGCTTCGGCTCGGCTCGGCGCCGCAACGCGGGCTTGTCGTGGCACGCACACGTGCACTGCCATGCAGGCCGCACCGCCGTTGCTGCAGCCCGGGCACGCGATTCACGCACGCACGCGTACGCCGCGCCTGGCGACCTAGCCGCTCGGCCACCACCGCCGTCGTCGCGGGCCCGCTGCCCTGGCTAGTCCACTGTCGCCGCTTCGTCGTGTCGCTGACTCCGTGCATCGCGTCACCACGCTGCTGCTAGCCGTGGCCGCTTGTGCGAAGTCGCCCGCATGCGCTCTACCACCGCCGTCGCGTCCGCCTGGCCGCTCTGCCGCCTCGCGCTCGCCTGTGCGGTACCATGCGCGCGTGGCCACACTTGGCCTGCTGCGTCCGGCACCTGGCCCTGCCCGCACGTAGCCTTGCCGTGCGTGGGCTTGCCCCGCCTACATTGCCATCACATCCGTTTCGATGCGACGCTGCGCTGACCGGCGCCATCCATTGCGGCGCGCAGGACCGAGACTCCATCGTCGGCCTACGATTTATGGCCATGCGTCCAACATCTGGAGCACGTTTCGCTGTCCCCCCATCGCCCTGTAGCCCGTGCGCGTTTGCACCGAGTTGACAGCCACGTCCCACCACGGCAGCGACGAGCCAAGACATGCCTGTCTTCCCCTGTTCCTCTGTCGCCGTGGTCGTCGGACCCGCACCTCTCAATTCGGCCTGGCGGAGCCACCTCGATCCAATTAGCTTGGTCCACGGCTTCGTGGTGTAGTTAGCCAGCCAGCCGACCCTATCGTGCGGTGTTACTCGTTGAGCCATGCTCCAATTTGGAGCTTTCCTCTCGCCGGGTCGTTAAGACCGTCGTGGCACGCGTCGACGGCAAGGTCCCCACTCCAGTACTACTCGTGTTCAATTCGTTGCACCGCTAGCTTCGCCTTCACCTACTCATCACCCTACGCGCCTTTGCCTAATCGCTACCACCTCCTAGCCACCTCTGACGCGGTCTTGCCGCCGTGGGGCACCACCGCACCGTCCGCGCGCTCGCGGCCAGCTCGGCTCGGGCCGCCTCCTACCGAACCACCGCCTCTTCTATGTCCATGGTGAGTTCCTTGAGCTCACTCGCTACCCCAACTTCTCCGACGTTGTTGTAGCTCACTGGAACGTCACCGTTTTCATTGCAGGAGCTCCGCCGCCGTGGACCGGCTTTACTACGGTGTCTCGGCTCGCACTTTCTTCTCCCAGTGCTTCGCGTTCATGCCTAGGCAGGTATCAGCTCCATAGATAGGGCAGGGAAGGGCTGGTCTGGCCGGGGTAACCACCCGGTGCCAGCGTCGCCGCGCCGGTGCGCGCGCGGGGGGGCCTGAGGGTATGGCCGTGGTAAAGATGGAAAAGGGGAGGGGCAGAATTGTAAGATAGCTGACTGATGGAATAGTGCTGTGGACCTCGATTGGATTCAGTATTAGAGAAAGGGCGTTTTAGCAAATATACCAGCGCGCACGGGCCTCTCCGTCGCAGGCCGTCGTCGCGCGGCTGGGCTGCGTCCGCGCGGGCCGCGCTGGTGGGTCGCGTGCGTACACGCGCGATGCGGGAATGGACCGCACTGCTTGTTTGTGGGCTGCGCGGTAGAGTTTGGTTTTCCTTTTTCCGGTGAAGTAATAAACGTTTATTCAATTTAGTTTTGAGCTGAACTTTGAAAAATTATAGTAAATTCTATAAATGTCTAAAAATAGTGAAACAAAATTTGTTAGGTTCACAAAATTGCTATCTATCTGTTGTTGTAGTTAGTTTATAGTTAGCTGTGATAATGATGGATTCAAAAATTCAATTTAGAAAGCCTAGTACTAGTTAGCTTAATATCTGTAGGATTTTTTATGGCAATTTGGTGATAGCTTTAGGCATGAAATTTTTACAGTAGGTTCATTAGATTATTATGCGCTCATTGTAATTTTTGTAGCCCTAGAGTAGGTTGATAAATAGAGTAGCTAGTACTCCTCGTTTTATCATATATAGAGTAAATCGGTATTAAGAGTAAGAATACCTTTAGTTGCTAAGATAGTACATGTCATGTTTCATACTTGTTAGTGATAACAATAGGTAACTTAGCACCTTAGCCGGTAGAACTAGCTTAGTAGCTTGACAGGTGTATTCGTATTTTAAGAGTTGTTGTACCGTATTACTAAGTGTTGCATCATTATTTCATGCGTGTAGATCACGAGTTGGTAGAGTTCGTGCCTGCGGACGAACATGACTATGAGGAGATTATTGAGGAGTACGAGGAGGAGGTTCTCGTACAGAAGGGAGCCCTAGAGCCGTTCGTTGCTAAGTTTGTTGACCCATCGCCTGCCCAAGGCAAGCCCCGATGCATAACCCTTATTTTTAAAGATCACTGAATATATATATAATGTGCATCTATGTACAGGCATTTTATGGAAACTACATGCATAGATATATCTACCTATGAGTCCTACTAGTATAGGTCGAGTAACTGCTATGCTCAGGAGTTCGATAGCGTGAGTGACATGTTGTTACTCACAATAGGGAATAATTATGATCACTCATGATAAAATGGTGAAAAAGAAAATGGTGACCGGGCAGAGATATGGTTTGGGTATTGGTGGGTGTAAGAGGTTGTGTCCTACGGTCAATAGGGCATAGCTTGGTTACACTTTTTCCCTATGTGTGTCGGTTAAGGACTGGCCGTTGCATTGGACGCTAGGCAAGTCACAGACTTATTATCCCGAGCACATACTTGGGTATGGGCGCATGGAAGACTTGTTGCTCTCTTATCGTGGGTTTCGGCTCTTTCCGAACCAACTGATTGGAGGCGGGGAAGGTGGAGGTCTAAGCACCGCACTAAGTCTGGGACTTAGGAGCAGGGGCTTGGAGTCCAAGTTTGGATAGGGACCTGGACCCCATGATAGGAGGGTGATGGGTTGGTCCTGCTTGTGCCTAGGGTATAAGCGGGGCGTGTGTTTTCAAGGTACCTAGCTGGGCACATTGATTCATGAATCGCCGCCGTGTCGGTATGACTTGTCTAAACTCTAGCACCGTAGTAAGAACTAAAAGATGAAAGGTGAAGAAATAGAACTGTTACTCAACTCTTGCTTGAAAGTAGATCAATTGCTTACATAGAATGGCTAGATAATAAATTAATCATGACTGAAAGGATCAAGATGCCCAAGAGGGGGGTGAATTGGGCTAATTCTAAAATTCTTTGCAATAAATAAAGGCTACACTTAGCCCATTTCACCCCTTATGCCTAAAAAGTGATTCTATTGATCTACTGCACAAAAGTTTAGCACCATAAGTTCCAATCCTACTCTAGCATGACAATTCTAAGAATGTAAAGACAAGAATTGAATTGCTCAAATGTAAATGTTTAAAGTAAAGAGAGGAGAAGGAACGCAATGATGTTTTGCCGAGGTATCGGAGAGTCGTCACTCCCCACTAGTCCTCGTTGGAGCACCCGCATAAGGGTGTAGCTCCCCCTTGATCCGCGCAA